TTGGTATTAGGGTGGCATTACAGTGGACACAACAGGTGTTCAGTATGTAACAGGTAAATGAGTGAATGGATGAAGGAATTATTTCACAAACATGACCACCTCTACACAGAAATCAATGATCATTTAAATACTTCAAGCAAAGGGGAAAAACTATGCATAGTTTTTGTAAAATTCTGTAAATGTTTACAGGAAAAATGGAATTTCGACATAAAAAATGCATTTCCACACAAGCATCAACAAATTACCATAAACATTTGCTTGATATGACTCACTCTGACTGGTACAGCCACGTAATCTGCATGAAATGAACCCAGAAATAATGGACACCAGTGAGACAGATACCACAAAGCAGTTTTGTGAACAATGAATGGCACAGTAAGTGTCCGCTATGTATTGTGGAAGGGGCCCCACACTGGGAATGGAGCAGCATTCTGAGTAAACCAATGCACCTTGCGCTAAAGTCATCCTGACCAGGTGCTATGTGGGTCTCCAGCCCTGGGGAAGTCACATCACCTCCTTAACTTCTATGGAATGAGAGGATAAGTAAGTTGCTCCTTAAGGTCCCTTTTGATAATCACAAGAGACTTTCCAAAATGTGTCACGATAAGCAGATAGTCATTATATACATATTCGCCCTGTTCCTGAAGGGTACCATTATCACACTTTTCTGAGTAACTCTGATGCTTATGTCACTGTCATAGTTCTGGGGGCTCTGCAGGTCAAAGGAAGGTACAGCCTACTCCTTCCAGGAATGTCTAATATGGGTCAATTGTCTTAGAAATGATCATCCATCTAGTAGCAAATAGAAGTGAAATAACACTTCACAATGTTTTAATGGCTGGGTTACAGTCCTCCGAGATTATCTGGACCAAACCTCATGCAGCAGATACGGAATTTGAGTCACACAGCCAGTTAGTGGTGGGAGCTGACCTGGAATCCAGGGGACCTGGAGATATCTCTCTGTGACTGGCTGTGGTCTCTGATGGTCTCCAGACACTCATTCCCTCTCTGACACTCACAGGAGGTCCCCAGTGGGGGACCAACAGGAAAGATGTAAGTAAGTGAATTCCTACTGAATTACATGATGTCTGCTTTCTATAAGAACGGCTGCTGGCTCACACACACCAAAAGGTCAGTCAACAGATGTCTAATTAAGGGTTAAAGATTTCTATTAGAGAAAAAGCTCACAAAGCCTGTCATTATGTGTTTTTAACAATTTCTTCACTCTTCAGACTTAAGAGCAAACAGCCTGACTGGAGAATTAAATGCTAAACATAGGGAAGAATGTTCCCCTTTCGTCTTGCATTATTTTGGGGCTGTGATTTGGTTCTCCTCCAAAATTCTGCCATCTCCCTCTCCACCTAAGAAGTATAACTTGCAACATAAACATTTATGACAGTCTGGATAGATTATTATGCTACTGAGGACATGGTTTTTTCCCTGCAAAACTGGTCTAGTAACGACAGTCCTAAATGAATTCAGTAGGGAGGCACAGATCAAAAATACCGTATTCGACACAGCGCATGAAGCATTTCTCCTATTTTACACAATCTGTCTGAGTTGCCAATTGAATTGCAAGTTCCTTTCAAAGTAGATCACCAGAGCAGGTGTGAGAAGTAGTTCTGAATCTCTGCCGAAGAACGGTCTTCCCTCTAAGAAGCTTCATGTGGGAGTTGCACACAACTCTTTTTACGCTGTAAAAGGGGCTCAAAGAGATGGTAAGAAGGATTATACCCTTTTTGGCTTAATAATATTGGGAAAAGAAACAGAAAAATTCAGCCAACATCCTAATGATATGGTTCATTCATCTACCAAAGAAAGGCTGTATCACATAATCAAATGATTTTACTTTATAACACCATAAACTCCCACTCTTAACACAAAGAACTTTTAGACAGTAAATATATTAAGATTTGAGGGCAGTCCAACCTAGACAGATCCAGAATGTCATTCATTAAAATGCAAAATGCATTCTATTTCTGGTCCTGGTAATCAACTATGGAAAACAGTTTCGATGACAAGAATGCCTGCAGAAGTATGAGGTTATATTTATATTAACAGAAACAATTTCTTCCCTCAGTTACAGGAATACAGTTTGAACATTTGGAGTTTGTTACTAAAACTTGTAATTAACTCTTCATTAATTGTCATACACTTTTCACTGTCTGAGTTTGTGTACATGTAGGCATGTTCACATACATAAAATGGCAAAAGTGAAGAAGAAGAGAAAGCAGAAGGCAAGAGGAATTAAAAATGGAGACTTGGTTCATAACTTAAACTGCAGGTTTCAAATTAAACCACCACCAAAAGAAATAGTGAAAGCACAGTTTTGATGATAGCTATAATTAAAGAATGTTAAAAAGAAAAAGAATAACTGCATCTACACCAATTTAGGTGTCTCCAGACCCATTTTAAATAACTTCAACTTGCTAAGTCTGCAAGCAAAATCACTTGCAAGGCACAGCAGCAAAGTAAACACACACAAAATGTTGCAGTGACTTCATCACACCAAGAAGCTACAGGCTCCACTCAGCACAGCTTTTATCAATTTTTCCTGCGGTAGTTTTCTATGCTGCTTTCAGAGACCCTGCAAAGGAATTAACATGACACCATGCTGTGAGACAAGGAAATGCTGAAGAATGCACTCTCCCAATTCAAAGAAATTCTCAAAGGCATTATCTGGAAGTGGGGTCTAGGCAGTGGGGAAATCCTTACCAAAAAAAAAAAAAAAAATCCAGTTAAAGCAATATCTGAGGAATTTTCCTTCTGTTCTCTAAATCAGTATGCTACAACTATTTTTTAAAAAGTATATACAATTGACACAAGTACTAACAACAGTACATTTGTGTACATGCTTGTATATATGTGTATTATATATACGCACATATATACATGCACACATATAAACATATACAGTTCTGACTGCATAGGAAAGCAATCTGTTTAGCAAAATAAATAAAACCTAAATAATGTTTTCTCTCAAGGCTAAAGTTGCTACTAATAAAATGAAATATGTTCTAAATGCTTCTGAAATTGACTGCAGTGAGAAATACTGAATCCATTTCCATGACACCCAAGCTGATTCTAACTCTTTCCATCTTAATGAGTATCTACAGTTGAGTTGCCAGGCACCATATAAAATCCTTTCAATTAGAAAAAGAGAAAAAAAGATTAAGCAAAGTAAGAGTGCACCATTAAGGATGAAAGTAAACAGCAAAACATTAAAGAATCATAGAGGAAGCAGAGAGGTCTGACAGTCAAATTACAATACAGTATTGCTGTGAACCACAATTGAGTGTAGGGAAGAGTGGTTATTAGAACAGCTAAGCCAAACAATGCTGATCATATTTTTTAAATGGTTTTGGGTTTTTTTTTTTCTGCTGCTAACCTGTATGCTGATTTTCCTCTTGAAAAGGGCTAACATGTAAACATCTACAAATTCTTGCTTTTCATTTAAATGTATGCTTTTATATATGCAAGGAACCATTCACTAAAATAAAAAAATAAAAAATAAAAAAAATGGAAAAACAACAAACACATATACTTTGGACCCAGAGAAGAGGGTAAAGGCATATGCCTGATGTCATCACCACTATTTTCAGAAAAATCCACATGAAGAGTGGACATAAAAGTAGTGAAAATGAGCAAGACAGCTAGGGAACTTTACATTCCAAACTCCCAATCAGCAGGAGGGACCAGAAATTCTACCCCATATTCCCCCACACCCCGCGTCATATATCACAAACAAAACATTGTATTAGTTCAGTACTATAAGAATCAGAGACACAGTACCTTATGAATCAGAAACTAAATTACATTTGGTAAGAACCTTCTCTAGAGTGAAATGGACCAGAGTTGGAAAACCTACACAAATAATTTATCTCCAGTCCAAGACTTGAAAATAACTAAACAGAATTACAACTGTGAAGCTATTCTTTGGAATGATGCTTTGATCAAAATAGTTCAACACACCTGCTAACAACAACAACAAAAAAATCACTGTTAAGAGAGACTCCTGCAATGCACAGAAGTGAAACTACTAAAATGTTTCCTTTGGGCATCAAAAAGCTGCCAGTAATAGACCAGAAGTTGTGGTGCTCTTTGCAGCAAACCTCAGGAGACCAGGTGAAAAATTAGAGCACTATTGTAAGAGTAATGCCCTGGAATAAACAATCTGCCACATGCATAGTCTTTGTCAGAAACCTGCTTATATTCTCTTAGAAAAGTCTAACCATTCTAATAATCTCAAAGTATTTTATCACCTAGTAGGAGGACAAAACTATATTGTCAACTCAGAAATGTTCCTGTCCTCACTGCCCTACTGCTCTCAGAAGAGCCTGCAAAATATGGTTTGCAGAACTGGGTACACTGAGACTCGCAAGGGAAAGAAGCAATGAGGTCATGCAGTCAGTCTACTCCATCTGCCAGCGCAGGATTCCTCCTGCTGAGAATGTTCCTGCCCAAGTTGTAAACCCCACAAGATACAGGGTCATCCTGGACCCACACAGGCAGGTGCAGAAAGTGCAGCTGCCCGCAGCAGACTAGACATAACTCACACGTGTGTGCTCATCTTCACCCAGAAAGATGGAAGAGTTTTCTATACGGGCAGGTCACCCCCAGCCCTTCCGATTCTGAGTGAGTGCCCCCGGCACACTGAGGATTCATCCTGCCCAAATTTGTCAGTCATTGTCCACAGATTCCCTGCACACTGCTGCAGTTTACCATCGTGAACACATTTCCCCGGTTGCTGCTTCAAGGACAAAGACAGAGCACTTATATACGTATCACAGCAGAAGAGCTCACGTTTATGGAAAAAGATAAAAAGACAAACATTCCAGGCAAATGACCCCTGGCATTTTAGAAGCTGGATCATCCCACACAAGATCCATGAAAGCAGAAAAAATGCAGAAGGAAGGTCACTAAGCTTAGCTGGGAAGAGGGGGAATGAACGGTTCAGTTCACTGCAGCAGCAGAGCAGCTCATTCAATGTAAGCACTTACCATAAAAATAGAAAGAGTCAACAGAAGGAGAAGGGATCCTTCCTCAGTGCCTTGGTGTCTTCAGCAGAAAGAAATCCACTGTGAACCGCCAGGCTCCAGTCGGGAGGAGGCCAGCAAAGTGATGACAGGCAATAAAACCACCACACAAGTCCTTTTCAGCCTCCCCTCGGGCCGTATGCAGTTGTTTGTGCTGTAAAAACCCTGAGAAGTCTGGAACAGGACTCTCCCGAGAGCGAGCCGGAGTGAAAGCAGCCTGGTGGATTTCACCACCGTTTCAGAGTCTCAGAGCATCATGCCCAGGACTGGTCCTCCCGCTCCCCAGGTGCAGGGGAGGCATGGCCGGGGGAGGGTGGGCACTCGGCTGGGCTAGGGAAGACGAGAAGAGGTATGGAAAGGAGTCTCTTTAGAGTGGAAGGAACTGCCGGAGAGAACATCGGTATTCCATATCAGTTATTGCCAGCGACCAATCAGCCCAGCCAGGGGGCCGTGTCAGTGTGACAAGAGAGCAGCAGATGACATCCAGTTCTGAGAGTGGCAGGACAACCCCCTGCCTGGAAGAGAAATTTGGGAGGATTGGCATCTTACCCTCTCCGCAGATGCTGTTAACATTTGCTTGTATTTAACAAAGATATAAAGCCTGATAGTTACACTAGCCATGCAGGAAGTTTTTGAGGCATCCCACAGCATCTCAGCAAGAAGCCAGACTTGAAGCCCCCTAAATGATATCCGATGGCATGTCACAGCCCAGATAGCCCTACTGATGTGCCTCCAAGAGGTCATCATGATTACAGTAATGGCACCTAGGCTTCTTTATGCCCAAAATGCAGGATAAGAAGACCAGGGACCCGACTTTCTACTTCAGAAGTGAAAATTTTAAGACAGAGAAGGGTCAAAGGTCTCTCCAGGAATTTGACTGCCAATCTTCATTAGTTTTCTTGTATAATATAGGTATAGAAATATTGTTAGAGGAGAGTGTCTAAAGATAGTTAACATGTCCCTTTTAGAGCTCTTTAATCACCCATAAGACAAAATATGTGTTTGAGATAAACAATAATAATAATTCGTAAGCACACTAAAGATTGAGAAACTCTGACTTACACTAACAGACGGAGCAAATCTCTTGGTGATAAATGAAGGGCACATGGAGCACTCTAAACTTTTCCTACTTCCCTTTACCCCCATTCTGTTTTCATATTGAACCTGTAAACTTTGTTCATCTATATTAATTAATTTGTATTTTGTTGTGATGATTACATTACACAGCGGCATAGTTTCTGAAGTTAAATGCCAGTTTAATTGGACTCCACTGTAAAACTTCAGAACTTTTTGTAAGTTGGGGAGATTGTCTTGGGTCACCTTTTTATCACTGCAGAACAGATAACTCCCTTTAGCCAGTCAAGAGTTAACAGAATATATACAAATACCTTGGGTTTTTGTTTTCTTTTTTTGCGTGTGTAGGTTTTTTTTTTTTTTCCAGGTGACTTACATGATATAGGGTTTTTAATTTTAGTTGTCTGTTTTTACCTAGAAGTTGGAATATCATTTGCACATTTTGCTGTGATCTCTACCCGCAGGCAAGCTGACTTTGGGAAGCCTGAATGCCACAGCTTAAAAGGAAGGGCTGGGCTCCAAGGAAGCAGATAACTCAGCACCAAAATGAGTCACAGCAGAAGGCCATAAAAATGTTCCACATCAAAGATGAACATAATAAAGTGAAATTTTTTAAACGAAGAAGAAAGGATGGCTTGCCAGGGAAGTCCTTGTAAATTATATAAGGAAAACCTGGGAGACTTTGAGTCTCAAATGCTGTTTTGTTATTCTCATCAGTTCAACTCAAATCAGCAAACATTTGAAGAACATCAATTATGCATCAGGGGTACAGAGATGAGTCCTTGCCTTCAAGAAGTTTACAGTCTCATGGACAAATTTAAATCTTCTTCTTGAAATTTCAACACTACAACTCTTGCCAAGACAGAAAATGTTCTACTATTTTAATGTTCTTCAGATTAAACCAATCCATGAGGCTGGAGTTTAGCCCCAAAGCTCTGAATTAGCCTAAATTAGATTTTTGTCATAACCAAAGCCTTTCAGGAACTATAAATGCACAAATAATTTTTGAAATCTAATTAATATATGAGAAGGTTCTTTAACCGAATGTTTGTTTTTATCTGCATCAACAGATTCTGATACCACAAAAGCATGGGCAGCATATCAAAGAAAATACTTAATAAGAGAATATTATTTAAAGCTCCTAAATGAATTGAGATTAATACTGCTGATGAAACGAGTTCATACCTTGAATATATAGGGTTATAATGATGCATAAAAAGGATAATACAGCAGAAATACAAATTGTCTAGTGGATTAAGAACTGCACATCTATATGACAACTGATCATTAAAAACGGGTATTCCAGTTATTAACTCAAATGCCATTAATTTTTAAAGTTGGGTCTCTTTATTCTGCTCTACTAAAAAAAAAAAATGACAGAAAATGCCTCCCATTTCAGATAGCAACATTAATTGTTGTAATGTACAGAATGTTTATACAAGTCAATTAAACTTAGGATGATATCAGTGATTGTGTCTTGCTCACTCGTGTAGAACCAGTACTTAACATATAATAAGTTCTCAATCAGTATTTGTTGGGATGGCCATTTGATCAAAAGAATCTGGCTAAAATTCTACAACAGCATGATTTAATGCCTTTTTCCTGACTACAAGATAAACTAAATTATGTACCTATACCTGCCACTTGTTTAAAAAGAAAAAAGATAGCTTTTTCAGGAACTTTGTTTCACAGAAGCTTGTTGACAGAGCTTTCTAAAGTTTAAAAGACAAGGATTCTTCAAGCTCAGTGTTTCCACACTAGGGTAGACACAGTTCATGGGAAATGGATTCTACCTTCTGTAACTAGCCTAAGGAGAAAAAGTGAAAACATACCTATTTTCTGGACCACCAAGAGGGTAAGCAGCCACATAATTCCATTTTTGACATCAGAAGCTTTTAATGGAAGTATAAGAATCGGGACTTTTAAGTAACTTTCTGCCAATTAATGGTAATCTGCATAAGGAAAAGTCTGTGTCTCTTCCATCTAACTTCTGAAAGCCAGTGTCTAAAATAACTAAATGCCACTGTGCACCAGAGTTGATTCCAATAGCTCCACCTATCTCTCCAGGCCTCTGCAGCACTTATAGTGCAAGCATTATGTACACCGGGGCACCTGGGGCTCAGGGAGGCTGGAGGCGCTCACCCAAGTGGCAAAGCCAGTGTAGGAACAACGGGAACAGCCTCGGAGCTTCCTTTTATATGGAGACATTTATCTGAACATAGGAGGGGGTCTCCCAAGAATCTTCTTGTGAGACTATTAGGGGACCCTTCCTACCATGTTACATGAATTTGTATGAGGTAGAAATGATACAAGTCCAAGTTAAAGCAGAAACTCTTCTTTTACTTCAAAGATTAAATGTAAACCTTTTATGCAACAAAAAAATAATTTCATAATGCTTACAACTTAAAAATAATTTGTATTTGTTGATCTATATTTCTCAGCTCTGACTCTACAGTTATTTTATTTATTTTTTTTTTTTTTTGGAGACAGAGTATCTCTGTGTCACCCAGGCTGTAGTGCAGTGGTGTGATCTTGGCTCACTGCAAACTTTGCCTCTTGGGTTCACACAAATCTCCTGCCTCAGCCTCCCAAGTAGCTGGGACCACAGGTGCATGCTGCCATGCCCAGTGGGACCACAGGTGCATGCCACCATGCCCGGCTAATTTTCTGTATTTTAGTAGAGACAGGGTTTCACCATGTTGCCCAGGCTGGTCTCAAACTCCTGAGCTCAGGCAATCTGCCTACCTTGGCCTCCCAAAATGCTATGATTACAAGCATGAGCCACCGTACCCAGCCTCCAATTACATTTTAAGGCCAAGAGGAGTAATCCTTAATTACTAGAATATACTATAGAGGGAAAGAATATTCTAGAAAAGTATGGGACTGACATACACATTAAAGTATGGTCTCTTACTAAATTCTAAAATCTAAATTATTTGTCAGTATTCAGCAAGAGACCTCAAATGGAGATAGGATAGGTTGAACTGCTAATGTTTCCCAATCAGAGGTCACTGGCTGGGGATAATTTCCCCAAAGTGCTTAGTAGGTGGGCTTTCAAACATACGACAACCATTCCAAATAACAGGTATCTGCAGCACATAAATATAATCAGAGCATTCAGGTTTTCAAAACATTTGTTTGCACAGTCAGCATTCCTTAGCTCAAAGAATCCTATGGGATCATCAAAATCAAATCATACAGAAAGAATCCATAAGATCACAGACCCATAATTTTTTTTTTTCTGAAGATAGAAAAATAAATCAGTGGCTGACTTAAATAGTCAGTGAGAATTAGGCTGAGTCTGGTAAAGCCAAAATAAGAAGTATGTGTTTGTGCACCAATGTCAGAAAATTAGTGAGTGCATTTAAAATCCAACTGGAGTATCTCCACATCCAATCAGTCCTTAAGTCTTACCAATGTTACCTCTGTACTTCTCCTCAACACAGAATTAGGGGCTGCGACCAATTCTTTCTCCCAAACTATTACAATGACTTCTAAACTCTCCTTAGTTCCAATCTGACCTACCTTAGCCATTAGCATTTTCTTTCTAAAATACAACAAATATAATCAAGCTATCCCCTTGCCAACAGGTTTGGGATGATCAGGCCAAATAGAGCCATTCTTGTGCCTGACATTCAAAGCCCTCTGCAATATGACATCAGTCTACATTTCCAGCACCATTTTCCACCATTACTTCCTATACATCTCATGCCCTGGTTACACCTGTTGCTATTCTCCACAGACACTGTATTCTTCGATTGCCATAATCCTTTTCTCCTAGAATAACCTTCCTGCTTCTCTCCCTGGAGAATTCCTCCACACCACTATCACTTACCCTTCAAGGTCCAGTTCAATGTCATCTTCATGGTGAGGCCTTCCTCAAATTCACCAAAGTGACTTATTTAATCACTTCTTCCTCTGTGTTTCCATAGTGTTTTTTTCTAGTCTTTTAATCAAATATGAATAGCAGATAACACTGTGCTAAATTAGTACCTTTTAACCTATTTAATTGGGATCCTTTGATATTTCCAGTGCCTGACACACAATAGTAGCTCAATAAGTACACGAAGAATCAACCTATCTTTCATGCCTCTTCTTTATAGTGCAAAGCACTTTGAGGAAAGGACAAACTTGTTTTCGGAATTCAGGCCTACAAGCTTATGAAGCATATATATCTCCTCATTCAACCAGGGGTTTCTATGGTTTAAGGAAAGAGCACTGCATTAGAATCACAACAGCCAAGTCCCAGCTCAGTGCCCTGTGTCACCTCAGGCAATCTCTTAACCTAAATGAGAAGTATAAAACTTGTCCTGCTTATGTTTGAGAACTTTCCTGAGCTACAAATGAGGTGCTGTATGATAAAGAACTTTATAAACTATAAAAGCATATGGTAGTAGGCACAGTTATTGTCACCACTGTCATCATTGTTTTATAATTGTTATTGTTGCTAATATCCCAGAAAAGACATTGTGAAATTTGTTAAGACAGGTATCCTATGCAAGCAGCCTAGGAGGCCAGTGACTCAGCACTTCTGTCAGTCCAAGTGCCTTGTTTCAGTCCTGCTGGTCTGCAGTTAGGATGAGGTAGAAAGAGCAGAGTTGGAAGGCCTTGACTCTGCCTCACTCTGTTACTTCCTAGCTATGTAGACCTGGTCTCTGAGACCCAGTTCCCTCATCTAGGAAATGGGAATAACGATGCCTACCTGACTACATGGAATGAGATGGGTATATATATTTATTTATGGCATACATACATCCATTATATTTATGAGCCTCTAATAAGCATTCTGTGAGTGGTCAGGAGAAGGTAGCCATTTCTCCCCAGCTCTGTCACATCTACATGCCCTAATCACTGTCCTCCTGTTTTTTCAACTCACCAAGCTCGTTCCCACCCCAGGGTCTGTGTATCTGTTTCTTTTGCTTGGAACCCCTTTTCCTTATATCCTGGAATGACTTCTCATCAGAAAGCCTTCCCCGACTCCCACCCCATTTATTTTCCGTACAGTACTCTTTCTGTTTTTCTCACGTTTATCTCTATCTGTAACCACCATATTTGATTGCTTGTTTAATGTCTGTTTTCTACACTATCATGTATCCTCCACTCAGGCAAGGACTATTTCTTCTGTACTCCTCACTGAGCCCTCAGAGCCTAAAAAGTGTCCAGAACATAACACACACTCAATATGTTTCTTGAATATTCACACCATGACCAATCTTTATGCAACTGTTCCCAGGTTCTCTACATCTATACAAATTTCCAACTATCTTTGACTATTGAATAGGAATGAAATCAAGGAGATCACCTAGGATGGAGCACAGGGTAGCACAACAATGTCCAAATTATATAGATATTTAATAATGTGTAAAACCCATTAAGAAACATTAAAATGTTATCTAGTAACAGGAAAACCTACAAATAATGTGCCAACTCTTGCACCCTACAGAAACAAGAATGACCAAGAATGGCAAGCTGGTCCTCACCTCACCTCAACTGGAACTAAGATACTGAGCAAAAATGTTAAATTACATTTATATAATAAATCAGGAAGTTCAATGGATCCCATTTCACATTTTCCTTCTCTTATTTTATGTTAAAATTGTTCTGGTCCAAGCCTATCCTGGGAAGAAATTTATAAGGTCCTTGATCCCTGAATCATCAACTAGAACAAATGATTTCAGGCAGCCCAGAAATCTAGGCAATTTTTCTTTCCTCCCAGGAAGCTGTCTCAAAGGTGAGATACACAAAATCTTTTCGAGGCTGACCACTTCATCTGTGTTTTCTGTTTGGCCTAGACTTAGAGGAGGCCTAATAAATAAATAACCATGGCAATCAGGGATAAAGTATGAAGGTTACTTTCTAACGGTCATTTCAATTACAGCATTTTCAATTAGCAACAACATGTCAATCTACCAAATAGGCATATGAACTTATTTGTC